GGTTCATTTAGGCTTCCAGCACAGCTGTGCAACAGGCACCGTTGAGTCCCATCTGGCCACGTAACAGCTGTGGTGATCAAATGCAATCTGAAAGAGGCACTGCCTTGGAGACTGGCTTGTGTCATTCAAGCGCAAGATGACATTTTTTTTCCTCTATTACCATCATACCTGTCCGTGCTTGGGGAGTAAAGAAGCACTGTGATAGTAAATGTTTGGAGCTTACCTTATCAGGCTGTGTGGTTCTCTTTTCCTCCAAGTCTCACATGGTTTGAGGATTTTTCTGGTAACCAGGCAACACAGCACCTCTACTTACCCCTTGTGAAGTCCTGAATTAAAAATAGTCTGTTTTGCGGGGATCTGCAAAGTAGATGCTGATTAAGCCCTAGTGGAATCGAAAGCACCCCTTGGAGTTATAAGGGAGAGCAGCCAAGTCTCAGGACCCTTTGCAAAGCCATGTAGGGGGATCAGAGTAGGGGCAAAGCGTCATCCTGGGGGCTCTGACATTTGCAGCGAAGGAGCATTTGGTTTTGGCAGAGCAGCCACCAGCACCTCACACAGAGTGCTCTTTGTCACCATCATGATTTACTGATCTGCTAATCAGAAGCCCTCCAGCATTTCAAGATGCTTTTTCATAGTTTTAAAGAATGTCATGATCAACATTAGACCGGGGTTGATGTCCAGTCAGAACATATCAGGTGACTGAGGCCTTTTCTGCCCATGGCTTATGAAACCAAGGGCCACAGTGAATATCCCCAGGCAATTCCATGGAGCAAAGGGGTGCTTTGTAATTATACCCCCGTGCATCCAGGATAAAGCACTTACTTTTTATTCAGAGATGAGGAAGGGGAAGCTTTGAGGAGTCATCCCTACTTGGGCTATAAAATACCACCTTCTATTAATAACTCACCATATTACGATAGCGTTTGTTCTGGTTCACAAAGACATTTATAAGCTTTCCTTTGGCTTGCCCTTGCTTGGGTATGATTAGAAGCAAATAAAATATTTTATCCCTGTTTCTTCAAAAGAAATGGCTCTCTCCGAGATTATTCCTGTGTGATGCCAGTCACCCAGACTTAAATGAGAACTTCCAACTTTGATTCTTGGCTCATTTTTTAAAAAGCAAATGCAGAAGCAAGCTGGGTCTGGAAGCTAGATCATGACACAGCATCAGTGTGACTGGGACAAGTCCCCTAACTTGGCTGAGATAGTCACTACTTGTAAACCAAGAATGATTGTCACTGTGCTTTAGATTCTTGTAAGGATTAAGTGAGTTAAGAAATGCTGAGGTCGGAAGGAGCACATTACACTCGTTGACAATGCCAACCCCGCTGGGTGTGAGTCCCAGCTCTGCCTCTTCACCGGCCTTTGACCTTGTAGAAGTTGCTAAGCCTTCCTGAGCGAGTCGCATGGGGGCAGGAATGCAGGGTGAGCATCCCTTCCCCAGATTCTTGAAACCAGATGTTTTAGGGTTCAAGATTTTTTGAGTTTGGGAATTTTTGCTTCTATATGTACATCTTGGGAATAGCACCCAAATCTTAACACAAAATTCATCTGTTTCATGGGAACCTTATACTCATAGCCTGGTGGTCATTTTACACAGTATTTTAACAATTTTGCATATGAGACTAAGTTTATACACCAAATCGACACAGCTGAAAGAGTCAGGGGTGGAATCTTCCACTAGTGGGCTCATGTCAGCACTGCTCAAAATGTTGCAGACTTTGGATCAGTTCGAATTTCACGCGTTCAGGTTAGGGCGGCACAACCTGTGGTGCCTGCCTACACAGACCTGCAGGGCACATTGTCCTCCCAGTGAGTTCCGACTCACTGGGAGGACAAAGAAACAGTGGTGGTGAGCCTGGGGTTTGCACGCAGCAGCCAGCCAGCTGTGTGTTATCATCAAGAGCCAAGCCAGACGCAGCCCAAGCCCAGGCCCAGCATGTGTGTGGGAGAGCTTCCGCGCTCCCCTGCACCCGCCCGATCCCTCCAGACCCCGCCCAAGCCCTGCGTGTGAGTGAGACCTTCAGCCGTGCTCTCGGGATCCCCCCAAACCCCTCCAGAAGCTAAAAGGTTCACCATCGCTGATAAGGTGATCAGAAAGTACTTGGGACAGTGCTTGCCATTTAATAAGCATGCAAGTGTAGGCTCTCAATGTGACATCATGATTAGAATTGTTGTCATCCGCATATCAAGTGCCTGGCGTACATGAATTGACTGTCAGATTAACTCTTGTACCACTTCTGTACTTCTGTTCTTTCTCCCATCCAAACATTTAAATTTTTAGGAGCCTAAAAGGAAAATAATATGATTGCAAGTGTGTATTTTTGTTTTTTTAAAATTAATTTTATTGAGAAACAAATAGCAATGAGACAGTTTCAAAACAGGTTAGTAGGACAGTTACAATAATTAATACATTGCATATTGTTGTGTATTTTTGGTTTAACTAAATAAGTATCAAGGAGTCTTTCCAAAGTCTTATTCTAGCAGGAATTCAAAATTTTAGTCTTAAAACATAGGAAAAAGAAGTGTCTTTTTTTTTTTCAGTGTTCCTTAGAGCAAGAGCAAATTATTTGGCCTTGCTCCAGACCTTTTGAATCAGGCATCCTAGGGACACGATCTGTCCTCCATCTCCACAGGCAAGCATCCCCAGTGAGTCTCTTGTTCCCTAAAGTCTGAGAACAACAGGTACAAGCTACACACAGTCTTGACTGCCTTCATTTGCCAGGACAGGACAGATGAAGAACAGGGTGATCTGTTTGACAGGCTGGTCCAGCCCGAAACATGCTGCTATCGCTGTGATTGCCCGAGTTAAGCAGAAGTACAGGTAATTCCAGAAAGCAGAGTGTCAGGAATGGGGGGTGGAGAAGCCTCAGGGAGGCCAAAATACGGGGAGAACATATGAGTCTGTTGACAGGGCTGGCACAGGATGTTTTGGGGTGCTGGGTCTCCTGTAAGGCACTAGTGTTGCATCCTGCATATTACCCATCCTAAGTGATGGATAGAAAGAATGCCTTTGAATTCTTATGCGGGGTTAAAATGAGGAAAGTCCATTTCTGCCTTCAGAATTCAGAGCTGCTGGTACAAAAGATCACTGACACCAGTCAGTGGCCTTGCAGAAGTCAAAAAGGGAGTATTAAAATAGCAACCCTTTATAAAGCACTAGATGCACTTAATCTCAGGTTTCTTGTATCTTGCTGCCATGGGACCTTAAGAAAGAAAGAACATAGAAAAAAAAGTATCCTGGTGTTTTTCTATTCTCTGCAGGATCAAGGATGGGGTAGTTGTCTTCAAAATTAGTGCACTGAAACAGTGTCCTCAGTGGGGTGAAAAAAAGTGAACTGTGGGCACGTGGTTGTCTTAGGCAGCTTCCTGTAGAGATGACTGGTCAGCCCTGGTGGAGCATGGCCGTTTCAGACCAAGTCAACAGGTTGATGTTAGGGACCCAGCTCTGTGTTGCAGTGGAGTCTGTTTGGGGCTCAAGCTTGGGTGGCTGCAGGTGCCTGGAGAGAGAAAGCCCACCTTGAAAGCGGGGTGGAGAGGGCGAGATACTGGTCTGGTTCTGCACTCATTGTGCATGTGCAACAGAATAACATCCAAATAGATTCAAAAAAATCTGAAGAGTCAGATGTATAGATTACATTTGAAAGCCATTAAGAATGGATGTATTTCCCAGATAATTAAGGATCAAGATCGTAGGGACTTTGCCGCCAGAGCAAGCAGAATATGAGAAATCAGTGAAGAAATGACACGAGAGACCATCACAAAAGCTAGAAGTGGTCCCAGAACTGTGTCCTATTGTCGAAATCAAGAGAAGTAAATTTTTTTTAGAAGTGTTCTTTGGTGTCAAAAGCAGGAAGGAATAAAGCAAAAAGCATGAAGGGAAGTGGGTATGAGCCTTGGATTTACTAAGTGCAAATAGTAATTCAAAACGAAAGTGGATTTTCTATAAAGTGGATGATATTTATTAACTCAAGATTCCTCAACCTTTGCACTAATGACATTTGTGGCTAGATAATTCTTTGTAGGGAGGGCCATCCTATGCATGTAGGGTGTTTAGCACCGTAACTGCCTCTATCCATTGAAATCAAGTAGCACTGGACATTAGATGTCTTCAGATGTAGCCAAATATCTCTAGTTAAGAACTACTGACTTAAGTATTTATCTATGCCCACCCAGTACATGCCACTACATTAGGCCCTATAAGACATTAAAAAATATGACATATTTTCACCATTGAGATTACATTCTATCACTCCTAAATTGAGTTAGTCTATTATATCTGCTAACACTTATACATGTGAATTTCTACACATGTCCATACATATATTATATATATATGACATATATATGTGTACTACATATACATATGGTCATTATTCCCCAAGTTAACATTCTATGAATTTAATTATGAATAATGCTAGAAGAGTAGTAAGTTGGGAATACTATGTCTCTGTGCTTGTTTTATCATAGGTCAATGAAGGAAGTTTTGATTACCGATCTTTTTGCAAAACTGGTGCAATTTCCAAACTAAATTTTGTGTGACAGCAAAGGCCCCAATTATATTTTGCTGTCTTATTTCTGAGGGAAAAAAAATAATGTTCCTGATCCTTAGATATTATAAAAACTCTGTTTTTGAAAAAAATATGACTTGAAAATAATATATTTGGGAAGAAATAATGCTATATATTGTAAGTGTTCCGCCAAGTTTCTGCGATATTTTGGATTCTAATGTGATCTTAGAAACAACCAAAACATCGTAACAGTTGCAATAGATCTTCTATCAAAAGAAGCAACTTAGCCTTGAGTGTGGCTCAGTAGTCAAATGCTTGCCTAGCATGTGTAAGCCCCTGGTTTAATCCCCCATGCCTGGAGCAACCTATCATTTTCCAAGCCCCACCTTGGTGTTGTGTAGGAATGAAAGGGAAAATGTCTTGCTGTTTGTGATACTGAACAAGACCATGCCTGTGGAGACTAACAGGAGACCCTCGTTTTCTTTGCAGACTGCATCATCTGCTATTAAAGGTGCTATTCAGCTGGGAATAGGATACACAGTGGGGAATCTCACTTCCAAGCCAGAACGAGATGTTCTTATGCAAGACTTTTATGTGGTGGAAAGTGTGTTCCTACCCAGGTAAAAACATTTCTATCTGTGATCATTTCTATGCTAAGAAACCTTCATTATGACATTCCCGTGTGGAAGGACTTTTCTACCACACATGCGCTTGCATGTACTGCAACTTATGTTGTCTCTTCCCAGTGGCTCTTCGGGTTGCGACAAGATGGCTTGCATTGTTTTTGTTTTTGTTTTTTTGCAGAACCGGGGATTGAACTCAGGCCCTTGCACTTGCCAGGCAAGTGCTTATTCTACCGAGTTATCTCCCCGGCCCCTAATTCTTCTCTGCCCAGTTGTAATGAGTTGTGATGAAAACATGGAAGACCACAGAGAGAATGATTCTGAGATTCAGGGGGAAAGGTGTGGTGGTCACAGAGTAAGGTCTCCCTTGGGTGTGGAGCAAGGGTACCTTCACAAAGCCGTGGGTGGAGCCATGCTTTTGCTATTCATAATGTGGAAAAGCCTTCCTTTGAGTTAGCCTTTCAGTGTTTGTTTCCCATGACTTTCACTTAACTTCTAGAAAAACATACATGCCCCTTTGAGCTTCTGTTTGCAGAAACACCAGTTACCATACATTTGTTTCTATATAAATCAGTCTGAGGAGGAAAGAAATCAATTTTAAGATAAGTACATCTGCATATGGATAGTGGCGATGAATACTCAGCAGTATGAAAGTACTTAATGCCCCAAAACTATATCCTGAGAGTATAGCTATGTTGTGGGTATGTCACCTTAATTAAATAAGTAAAAATTATAAAAGTTCTTATTGCCTCCTTTGTATGGAAAAGAAATAAGCAATCATAATTAAATTGGAAATGTAGCCATAATTGACAGGTTTTCCAAAGAATATTGATTACAAAATAAAAGTGAAAGTATTCCATCTTCTGGGGACTTGGAAGAAATCATTTTGTCTTTGGGGATTCACTTTTTAGATCTGATATATATATATATATATATATATATATTTGGTGCAGGGTCTCACTACACAGCTCGGACTCTTAGTGATCCAAATGTTTTCAGCCTCCCTAGCATTGAGATTGCAGATATGTGCCACCATGCCCCATCTCAGTTACCTTCTTGCCGGCCCTAGATCCATTTATATTTACAATCATTCTTTCTTTTTGAAACAAGCCATATTTGATACCTGTTAATGCACCTGGGTGAGAATGGCTAGATGCTTCTCTCACCGTGTGTGCTCTCCTTGCCTCATTAAAAAAAAAAAAAAAAAAAAATCTCATGGAGAACAGTCAGTGCGCATGTATCTTTTTGTTTTGGTGTCAATAATCTTGAAGGACCCCATAAACTTTAAAATTCAGACATGAACCCAAGTAGCCTAGCTTTACTTTAAGTGCCCTTTAACTAAAGAATAAAACTGAGCCTTGCAAAGTTTTCAAGTTTTCTTCTCTAAGGATCTTCCCACTGCACAGAGAATGAGATTCCGACAGAAAACGACAAGCCCAAGGCCAAGGAGACAGGCCTTGCTAGTGGCACTGCTCTTCCTTTGACAGTTGGAAATTTTCTCTGTTTTTTTAATGGTCTATTATCATTCCAAGACAAAGTGCATGGATGACAATTGTTTCCCTTGAAAGCCTTGAGCTCCTCATCTTCTTTTGGTGTGACTTTCTGGGCTCATCTTTCCTGCAAACGTGTCTGCAGGATCTTTGAGCTCTTGTGGGCTTCTAAGTCCTGTACCCAGACATTTCAAAATTATTTTTCCCCCTTCATGAATAAGAAGCATAAAGAAAAAAAAAAGAAAAGAAAAAAGAAGCGTGAAGGACTACAGTGGGAGGGGGCCAAGAGTGAGTCCAGGGTGTCTTGGTCAGTTACAGCTGAAGGAGTTGCTCCCTCCTGGCACAAGGAGCTCCTGGACGGACCACCTTGCTCATCTCTTGCTTTGTCAGCATCCCGGCAGCGTGACAGCCACGTGGGAAAGCAAGGCCCAGGTGGGAGGGCCCCAGAGCTGCAGCCTCAGCAGCTCAGGGAGCTTACGAGACACGCAGGTGCTTGGGCTGCACCCCAGGCAGCTCTGTTAGTGACCTAGCAGCCCCAGGAGTGGGACACAGGAATCTGTTTAAATGAGCAGTGGATTCTAAGCACATAAAGTTTGAGCACTACTGGCCTTGCGTATTACTTCTTTTTTTAATGAATTTGGTACAGGGTCTTTTTATACAGCTCAGACGCATAGTGGTCTTCCTGTTTCAGCCTCCCCAGAATTGGGATTATAGGTGTGCACCACCATGCCTAGTTTTGGTGGCCAGCATTGTGCACCCAGAGTAGGGTCGGCACTGCATGTGGTACCTGGGATCGAACCTGGGTCCTTGCTCTTGCCAGGCAGATGCTTAGACCACTGAGCTTTCCCCCTCACCCTACTTCTCATTGTAGAATGATAATCTTTTTGATAGATATCAAATTTGGTTCTTGAAGTTATTGCATAATTCATACAACTAAGAAAATGTCAATTATTTTTTTTTTTTTTTTTTTTTTTGCGGAACCGGGGATTGAACTCAGGCCCTTTTGCTTGCCAGGGAAGTGCTTATTCTACTGAGCCATCTCCCCGGCCCTGTTGAATTATTTCAAATTAATATTTTAAATATCAAAATTATATCTATTAGTAATGATAAGGGGTAACTTAAACCTATCGTAAGTGTTTCAACTTTAAACTTTGTCACAGTAAAATGCACATTGGCATTGATCTCTCCTCAAAATATTCTCTTGGGCTTCAAACACACTTATTGGGCCTCTGAATAACTACAAAGACAACAATATGCAATGTGTTAATTATTGTAACTGTCCTACTAACCTATTTCGAAATGGTTTCATTGCTATTTTGTCTTTTTTCTCATTGAAATGAACAACAAAAAAACACACTTATCCCATCATTCCTGTCACTTTGTGAAGCAGTTCTACAAGTCCTCGTTTGTGAGTGTCTTTACAAGATGTGATCAAAATTACAGTGAATGCTGCTATTGAGTGTTATCCAAAGAAAGGCAAGATCTTAAAAACATTACAGTACGTCCTCGTCCGTCCTACCCCTAGATCTGCACCACGTAACTTCTGGCTCTTCTCCAAGTTGGAAGACCTTGAAAGGTAAACATTCTGAGTCAGTTCAGGATGAGCAGGCAGCCACGCTAGTGCAACAAACACCCTTAAGAAACAGGATTTTTAGAACTGCTTCAGAAACATCCTCATCACTTAAGAACTTCCAAGCCTTTTCTGAGTAAAGTTGTCCCTCAGTTTCCACGGTGGATTGGTTCCTAGACCCCTGGGATAGGAAAATTTACCAATGTCCCTATCCCTTGCATAAAACAGCGTAGTATTTACAGGTACAGTAACTGACACCCATCTTCCTATATACTTTAAGTATCCCTAGACTGCTTACAATACCTACTACAGTATAAATGCAATATAAATAGCTGTTATGCTATATTGTTTAGGGAACAGTGACAAAAATGCATGTACAGTGCAGATGAATTTTTTTCCAAATATTTTCAATCCCCAGTTGGTTGGATCTGTGGTTGTGGAATTGTTGGAGATGGGGAGTAGCTGTACATCCCTTCTGTTCATGGATGATATATTATAAGCCTACTGTGTTTATGATAAAGAGACTATTGCTGGGCATGGTAGCATCTGCCTATTATTCCAGCTACCTGGAAGGCTAAGCCAAGAGAATTATAAGTGTGAGGTTAGCCTGAGTGGCTCAGCATGATTCTGTCTCAAAACAAAAAAATAAAAAGGGCTGATGATATAGCTCAATGGTAGAGCTTTGGCCTAGCAGGTAAGAGGCCCTGGGTTTCATCTACAATACCACAATATAGAAAGCATAAAAGAAAAGTAAGAAAGAGAGAGTGACAGAGACTGAGAGAAGACAGACAGACAGATAGACAATACAGTGACACTTTCACCTTGCCTTCAGGAGCAGAAAGCCGAAGTTCTAAATTTGTGGCCTGGGGCTCCACTCCATCATCCATGGTGGTATCAGTGGGCTGACCACTGAATGAGGAAGGGCTTGCTTAGACGCATCCACTGGCACAATGAAAATGCATCATTTTAGAGCATCTACAGCTTTTAAATGTCAGTTGACAATAAGGATTTAATTCAGACCAGGAATGTCAGCAAACGCTATATTTCTTGTCCACCTTCTGTTGACATGCAAGTAAAATTGATGTCAATCTGGCCTCAGGGTCCTCAGTGGATTCCATTTCTTCATGGCTATAGCAAAGGGATGAGGTACTCTCTGTGCACAACTGCACATTTCACGGGACCTGTCATCCCTGGACTCTCCCAAGAACATCGTCTCAATCCCAGAGCAACACTAAGCCCATACAGAGAGACACAGGGGAATGGATAAATTGAGCATTATTTGCATCCACGGTTATAACTTTTTTGATACATTTATACTTACAATCACTCTTTTTGAAAAAAGCCATTTTGTCTTATTAATGGACATTTTTTTTTTTGGCATCCAGGAGAGATAGCTGTTTTATTCCTAATATACATTCCTGCTAGAGAATATTTCTGTTGAAAATGCATTTTCCCAACATTAAGATCCTATAATTCCAAATTCAATTACATGGAAGTGGTCATTAGTGAAGGAAATGGACACCAATGCAAAATGAGAACCAGCAGCTGTCTGAGGAATGCAAGTATTTATAGCTCTCTGGAGATTTTTTTTATC